GGTTGCTGATTCCATTATTATCACTCTGACAATACCGGAATGCTTTCGCTGATTAAGAGTGGTATGCAGAAAAATGAGAAAATGAACAGAGATGAAGGAAATGAGTGTAAAAATGGGTTTTGAGCAGACTGAGGGTTTTTTGGTAAAGATTTACAGAATGTGGATAATGTAGCAGCAGTGTGCAAGCATTTCTGTGGCGCAGCTACCGATTATGGAATTCGTTGTTTGCTGAATGCTGCTGAAAATAACGTGAATATTCGTGGATTTGCGTTGGCTCCTTGTTGTCATCACAGAATAACTTATGAGCAGGTTCAGTGATTTTCGTTTTTCTTTGATATATCACAGCATGGAATAGCAAGAAGAAAAATTAGAAAGAAAGTTTCAAAAGGCACAGCTGCTGTCTGCGTGGAGTTCCGCTAAAATGAATTCCTCCGAAAAGTTAGGCGTTTGCATCCTGAACTGCATGTATTTAGTACTTATTACATTCGTTTCACAATGACTTAAGACGTCTAGTGTTTTGTTAGGTATTCTGAGCAACATCTAACCATCAGTTTTTATCTTCTCATATTACCACACCATTTAGTTAGCCATATGGTTGTGGTTGTCATTGTCATGAACGGAGCCCTTTCTCCAAAAGTCGTTCTAGATCGGCGGGGAATCGAACCACTCTCGTTCATGTTCGGACGCAACGTGTTACCACTACACCACCGGGTCTTGTACTCCAGGTTCAGCCTGGCAGCACAGCACTTCTTTGTGGCGGCTTTTCGGCTGGCTTTTCATGGGTTTTCCGCGACAGCTACAGTCATTTATTATGCATATGATCATTTGGTCCCTGTAAATCTGATCTTTTTAGTACGTTGGTCGTGTATTTCTAGAAGCGCATGGCATTGTTACAGCCAGAGATTTTGCAGCTCTCAGGCATATTTCAACGTGGGCCATTTGTGGCTTTTCGCAGCAGGTTTTTTCGTTTTATCTAGAATTTCTTTATCTGATGAGAAAATGAACGGACAGCAGATGTGTAGTGGACAATAGCATTGTCGGGAATCTCTCTTAGTTTCGTCGGAAGTTTCATTTATCGTATCGCTAATTGGTTTTGCTATAAAAGAAAATGAAGTAACTTATTATGGCTTCTCGAAAAATTTGTAACAGGATATTAGCGATGAAAGGGAAACAAATGTTCGTGTCGGCATGCCATAGCATATTAGGGATCATGTTTTGCGTGTAGGATATTATGCAGGGAAAGGTATTTCAAGAAAGAAGCTGAGCCAGTTAAGTGACAAGGATGACAGATAATAGAGGGACGAAACGAATAATTGTTTGGCATGCCAAAAAAACCGGTTAAAAAGCCATCGACTTGTTGAATCGACCGAAGAAATTGTCATAACTTCCCCGGTATCAAACTGCAACTTAGTGCCGTAAGGGATTCTTCGTTTTTGGGTCCGAGAGTTGTGTTGACGACGACGAATACAGGGTAGTTGAAGTGACGCAGAAGGATAAGTTGGTTTATCCACAACACAATATTAGCCAACGAACCACAAACCAAGAAAAACAGGGGTATTTATATAGGGAGTAGAGCACTACGAATATTCTGGAATAAAAAACACTAAACGACGCTACCCAATCTATATGCAATCACAAAGAACATTCCAGAAAATTCTGCACAACAACCTATAATAGAGATCTTCCTAGAACTTCCGAAGATCATGATCAAAGATCATCGGGGTCTCAACATTCGTGATAGTCCAAGCAGTCGTAGCTGTTATTTATTTGTTACATTTAGAGGATTGTAATGGACCGAAACACTTCTTACCATTATAAAAATCTCACAATTTCTTAATTTTCATTTTTTACCTTTCTTTTCCTTTTTAACCTTTTTCCATTCCTGTTATAATTTTCTCTGTAAATTGTAAATTATATCCCGAAAAATGTTTGTTTAGAAACACGATGGTGACAATTATTTGACTGAAAATTCGCCAGAAAAGCCGAATTCAACCAGTGGTATGGCTGATTTCCCGAATTCAATGCATTCAGCCGAAAAGGAGGCGCTTGGACAGAAAGCAAAAGCAATAGTGGAATATGGACGAGCGGCGGAGTTACAAAGATTTGGATATAATGTAACTCTGTACAGATATGTGAATAGGAATATTTCACCGGAAAACTTACTCATTTTAGGAACAAAACATTGAATGAAAAATTACTTAACTTTGTTACTCTTTACTTTATCAGTGTTGTTTTCTCATCACGAAGTTTCTTTTCAGCAGTGATGCTTCCTCTGACAACTTGCAGTTTTTCTCTGTTTTGAGCTTCACTCATCCACATAATTCCATATAGCCGTTCATGCAGATCCTTATCTCAGTGGTGACTTTTTTATGGTCTTTAGCACCATGCAGAAGCTATTAAGTAATCTTAATAGTTTTATTTCTACATGAATAAAAGCATAAGTGATACGTTGGTTTCGTTTTTTTCCTCTAATATTTTGTTTTGTTCTGAAAATTTGATTTTTTAGAAGCCAAAAATCCTAATTTTTTTGGCTTTGATGTTATCAAACTGATTAGTTGTTGTTTTTTGTAATTTAAAATGTATTTTTTTAAAATTGTTAATTGTTTATTTCTTATTTTCTCATTGTTTTGATAAATAATCACAGAAAAAATATCATACAGTTTTTTTGTGTTATTGAGGTTTTTTGCCCATATTACCTTTGATACTTTGGCCAGCTTTCCTTCTACTGTCCCGTTCTTTTTCACAGTCGATGCAACTTTTGGCAGTTTCTCCATTCATCTCTGTTCTGAGCTTGCTATATTCATATAACTCCACGTATGGGATGTTTGGATCAGCTTCAGTCCATAGTATGATTCTCCAGTTGCACATCTGGCAACATTCCATTT